AGGCTCGGTCGGCATTTGCCAACTTGAGACATCTGTGGTGCCGTCGCGACATCCGGCTGTTTGTGGAGGGTCGAGTATATGCTGCAGTAGTTCGGCCAGTTCTGCTATACGGTGCAGAAACTTGGCCATTAAGAAAACAGGATAAAAATATATTATCGGTGTTTGAACACTGCTGTCTACGCAGCATTGCACGAATCTGGTGGGGTAGCTGGATGAGCAATGCTGAGGTCAGTCGAAAAGTTTTAGGCAATCGCGGTCGCCCACTGGAGGAAGTGGTCGATCTCCATAGATTACGCTGGTTGGAACATGTGATACGCATGTCTCCAAATAGGTTACCACGGTGAGCGATGTTTGCCGAGGCAGGTAACTGTTGGAAAAGATCAAGGGTGGTCAAACTAAGACTTGGTATGAGGGTAGGAAAACCCCAACCACGAGTCTAGGTCACACAGGTCCCGTTAGGCTCCCTGGCTGGGGACCTCGGGATGATCGTAATCGATGGTTAGAGACACTGAGCATAGGCTCTGGGGACCTCGGGATGATCGTAACCGATGGTTAGAGACACTGAGTGATATGGCTGGGTGTTGTAAACAGTGGTGTTCGTGCATCCTCTCAATTTCTTTCCAACCTTAGACCACTGAACTTTTCCATTTTCTCTTCGACTTCGCTTTCAACTTCTCCTATTATTTATCTAAATGGGCAGCCGAAAGATAGCAACCAAAACCGATGGTTATCTCAGATGCTGTTCTAATGCAATGGTTCAGGGCCCAAAAATCGAGTAACAGTTCCCAGGTGGAATCCTCCGGTGAATGTGACCGGAAAAATCGAGAAAAAATAATTAAATTTGAGAACAGTATATATGTACATATACAAGTAGTGTTTTATTTTGTCAGTCAAGTAGTTTCCCCAGCCATTATTCATCCTTTCCTTGACAATTTTTCCCATCCTTCTGTACCGAACACTACCGGTACAGTGACACTTTGAGTTTTCGATTAAAGGCTTTGTGCATGTGTACTTTTCTCGTTTGCTTATGATTCAGTGTCCCGGTCATCCCTCCTTTTTAAGCACGAATCTTTTGGCACCCCTAGACAGCTGCGTTCGTCGTTTTCAGATCATTTCACCGAAAGAATCCAATGCACAAAGCTGGACACGAATACCTCAAGTCCTCTAATCAATAATTCTGGTGTGCTTCAAGGTGCTATCCTCTCTCCGTATCTTTTCTCTGTTTTCATTGGTGATCTTTCAGTTCCACACCCTGCTCATATCCAAAAGTACGCTGACGATGTCGTTTCATGTCAGATCGTTTCCTCTTCGGAATTTGCCTCCTCCACTGAAAATCTGTTCCGAATCGAACAGTTCTCAAACCAGTCTGACCTTAATCTTAACACATCTAAGTGCTTGGAGTGCATTTTTAAATCTTCCCACTCTACATTTCCGTCAGACTCTGTAACCCTTAATTGTAACCTTTTGTCTTGAGTGACCTCAACCAAGTATCTGGGTGTTACTATCGATAATAATCTTCGGTGGTCAACACACATTCAGAACTGTATGGGAAAATTCCGGCGCCGCTCGTTTCAGCTCCGAAGCTCAGACAATTTTGCACTCCNCCTGTTTTCATTAGTGATCTTTCGGTTTCACAACCAGCTCGTATACAAAAGTATGCTGATGATGTCGTTTCATGTCAGATCGTTGCTCCTTCTTCGGAATTTGCCTCCTCCACTGAAAATCTGTTCCGAATCGAACAGTTCTCAAACCAGTCTGACCTTAATCTTAACACATCTAAGTGCTTGGAGTGCATTTTTAAATCTTCCCACTCTACATTTCCGTCAGACTCTGTAACCCTTAATTGTAACCTTTTGTCTTGAGTGACCTCAACCAAGTATCTGGGTGTTACTATCGATAATAATCTTCGGTGGTCAACACACATTCAGAACTGTATGGGAAAATTCCGGCGCCGCTCGTTTCAGCTCCGAAGCTCAGACAATTTTGCACTCCTTAACAAGTTTTGTTCTCCCTTGTCAAACAACGGGTTCTCCCTATTTTACCCTGCTGCTCCCCTGTAGTGTTTCCCGGTCTCTTGAAACAAGAATTGAAAACTATCCGTCGTGGATTGGTGATAATAAGCAGTGCATCTTTAATTTCTACCGCGCCATCAACCACAGAACTTATTAATGGTCATATGAAGTCTTGTGTGACCTTTGCCAATAAGATTCTAAACGACCCCTCCCATCCTTTGCATCTTGACTTATGTTCCTGTCCCTCCCACTCGATCACTCTCATCGGTATCTACCCTCTCAAATAAACATTTATAAAACCTCCACTGTACCGTATCTGGCTTGAATCTTGACTAATAAGGAACGAATTATAAATGAGTTACGTAAATCTTTACGTGAATGAATGAAACTGGGGAGACAGTTTTTACACAGCACTATTGAATTCATTTATACCTCTTTATTTTCTCCGGTGTGACCAGTGTACAATTTTAACTGAAATGTAAGCATATTTCAGCTTGCAAAAGGTGTGCAAATACAAAAATCAAGCCTTTCCATTAAACCCAGTTTCACCAAATAGCAGTGTTTAAACCACAGCTGAATTTTCATCTCAGCTGTGTATGTATATGTACATGTGCAAATACGATGATCTGACGCATTTCTACCCTCCTACCATACCATTTTGAGTTAGATTTGAGAAACTATAGTTTTCATTTGCGAAACCGTCATTTTGAATAGAGGACCCATCACTTGCAGCTGAGAGAGAAACGCTGTGGTCGGATCTGCTTTCGTTCAGCGCACCTCATTGGTCAATTGATCACATTTTTTCTACCCCCGGGATTGACCACCTGTCTTCCCACGCTCTTTCTGTGTTGAAATGAGGCCGACCTCAGTTGTGCATCGTGTCGAGCTCTGTGACGGATGTCGAATCGGTGGGTCGGTGAAGCCATGCTATTTG